CGAAAGTATTACGCCGAGAATACCGATAGAAGTTTCTATCTAGTATAAGCGCCAGTATTTAGAAGAAAACATCTAAAAAAATGAACTATTTGTTCCATTCAATTATCAATTTTTTTTGTGAAAAAAAGAAATTTTGAAATTATACTTATAATATTGTTAGCATATATAAAATAAACATTTTGGGAAAAATTATAAAATTTTCCAAAATTTACCATCGAAAATTTTCCCAAAAATTTTCAAAATTTCCCCAAATATCCATCAACATTTTTCCCAAAAAATTTCACAGGAAAGTTTGCCAAAGCGGAACCCAACTAATATGTTCAATTCATGAAAATTTTATTTTAATTTACTAGGTTTATATAAACTTTTGAACCTTTTATAATGTCTATAGCAACTCAAATCAATTGCAATTCATTAATTTATTTGTTTGAGACAAATCATTAATTTATTGATGACATCCACATTGTTAGCCTCTACAACTACTACAAGTTCGATGGCAATGTTTACCTTCTTCTTGAGTACTGTTCCTGTGATCTCCAACGCCTCATGAAGAGCGAAGAAGAGATCAATGAGGAAGTCATGTGCAAGTACATGCACGATGTTGTTCTTTGCATCAAGTCTCTCCACGACAACAACGTTGCTCACCACGACATCAAACCAAGCAACTTCCTTGTTGACAAATACGGTCGCATCAAATGCTGTGACTTCGGCCTTAGCAGTGTTTATGACTGTGACGATGTCCAGAGCAGTGTTCACAAAGGCACACTCCTTTTCATGTCACCAGAGATGCTCAGCATGACTCCATTCAACCCCATGAAGTCAGACATCTGGGCACTTGGTGTCACACTCTTCTTCATGGCCACCAAGACATACCCATTCATTGCCAGTGACGCAAGACTCCTCCTCAAAGTGATGAATGCTACTTCTTCTTTCCCTATTTTCGCTGTTAGAAACGCCCAACTTAGACGGGAACAGGACAAATTTGCCACACGGCACTTTTTTAAAAAAAATCAATGGAGCGGAGCGATACTCTGCTGCAGGAGCCCCAAGGCTCCCAATCATTACGAAAGGGAGCCTCAGGGCTCCTGAGAATCCATCAGCAGAGGCCTTTTCATTTAGCCTCTGCTGATCAAAGATTCGGCGAAGCCATTCTTCGTCTCAGGAGCCCCAAGGCTCCCAATCATTACGAAAGGGAGCCTCAGGGCTCTTGAGAATCCATCAGCAGAGGCCTTTTCATTTGGCCTCTGCTGATCAAAGATTCGGCGAAGCCATTCTTCGTCTCAGGAGCCCCAAGGCTCCCAATCATTACGAAAGGGAGCCTCAGGGCTCCTGAGAAACCTCTTTGAGAAGGTTTTCTTAAAGAAAACCTTCTCAAAGATGATTGTCAGCATTCACTCAAAATCTACCAAGAGTTTCAAAGTTTCAAATCTATCTGAAATGAAGCTTTGAATCTCTTGTATATCTAATTGTAGAGGTACCTTTTCAAAATGTCTTCTATTGATTAAATTTAATCAGTAAAAGTCATTTTGAAAAGGTACATCTCTATAATTGCTATTGAGCATTCACTCTTGGAACCTTGGAGCTCTTGTGTAGTGCATGAAAACTCCAAGATTCTAGCATAAAACATATATCATAGACATAATTTCTTCAAATATAATTTAAGGTTATTTTTTAAAATTAGAAAAGTGTAATTTAAGGTTATTGAAAAAGTGACAGTTGGCAAATTTGTCCCGCACTCCAACTTAGACAGGTAATCCTTAGGTGCTTAGACCTCAAGCCAGAAAAGAGACCAACAATCAATGAACTCCTCGAAATGCCTTTCTTCCAGAACTGCAGAAAGTTATACCGTAATGGAATTTTTGTCGGTAGATCACCCGGTAACTCAAATCCTTTAATTGTAAGGCCGAAATTCCAATCGGAAAGCAGAATATTCTCAAAGGGCATGTCAGTAATCAACAGCAGACGTGTTGCTACATCAATGTCTTCAAATCCTCTCCGACCTTAATTTTTATCCAATTTGTCTATGTTTATTTTGTTTTATATTATAAAATTTACCATGCTTGTATTGTTTGAATTAAGAATATACTTTATCACAGTCATTTGGATATGAAATTATCCCTGTAATTTTGCAAGACCCATAATTTTGGCAAAATGGATTTGCAGTATGATTTTCTAACCAGTAGATAGTGATTCTGAGATAGAAATGCTGATGCATATGACTGTATTATTATTGAATTATTTCAAACTCGGTGGAGTAAACGATTTCACTATCAACAATCATATCTAAACCCAATATTAATAAAAATACATACGTGAAAATAAATGGCATTTAGATCGTTAATTTCAAATTTTTACTTTTTCAATTTATTGAAAGAAGAATAAAAAATTGAGATATGACGTAAAATCACTCCCGGTTTCTATCTCCCATTTTTATTTTCTTCAAAAAACACAATGTATATACAATGGCAGAGATAGATTTCATAAAATATGATCTTGAAATCAACTGGGTAAATTTCCAATCGAAAATGTACTTATCCTCCAACCTAAAAGGAATTTATCTTTAAATCATATTACAATATCTCAGTTATTTTTTGTGGAATAATTCGCTAAAAGTGAATCTAAAAAAATATTGAATTTTCAAATGTGGATGATATCCTGTTTATTAATAGATGCATTGTTAGAACACATTTATTTTTGGAATAAGGTTTATTGCTCATGTAGTTGCACAGAATCTCAATAGACAAAAGACCGTTCATTTAGTTGATGAAATCGCTTATATTTTCTCTTATATTGCTCAACGAATATCAATACCTAGGTGAAAAAGCATATGATATTAACTGTAAATTAATATTAACATAAACAATTTATACAAACAATTACTTTCGAGCGATACATGGACGACATATTACCATCTTATGTGGGATTAAAGAATTTCTTTCTAATCTATAAGGAAGATTGAAGCGCAAAGAATGGGTCGGGGCCATGAAAACTTCATGAGATCTGGCTGTTAAGAATTTACTGGATTTGGTCAGTTTTGTTGTAGAAACTTTATCAAAATAAGGCATTTGCAATAATTCTTCAATGGTTGCTCGCTTTTCTGGGTCGATTTTTGATTATGGTCATGACATGCTTTTATCGCAACCAATATATCATGGCAATACTTTCTCATAACTTCTTCATCAATTTCTATATCATCTTTCAATAGTGTTTGTAGATCATTTGGACAATATTCCATCAACATGTATACGTAGCTATCAAATTTATAACAATTATATAAGTTGATTGTATTTGGATGATCTAAGTTTGTTAAACAGTCTATTTCTGCTTGATTAAATCTTTGTTCCGGAATCTTCTTCAATGCAAAATATGTTTGATACTGGATTGAAAACACGAGATATATAACGCCAAAACCTCCTTGGGCTATCACACTTTCATAAATTAAACCTAATTCTTGAAAGTGCAATATCTCTTTCTCTTCCATTGAAATTTGACCATATCAAAAGTTGTAAATTTTAAAGATCGGCAAAGTTAACTAATTAATAAAGATAAGCAAAAATAATCTAACCAACTTGTGAAAAGCTCGTTTGGAATTTGAGTGTTTTAAACCATTTTTAAATTAAATTTAATGATATGGGACAGTAAACAATAAAATAATTAAATTAAAGGTTTGTTTTTGATTTGAATTCTCAGAATGGTGATTTTACATTCTAAACAATATTGAACTTTTGAATACTTCTAGATTATAGAGTAATTTCTAATGATAATAGATTTTACGCAGAGTATGAACAACAAACGAGTTGCAAAATTCTTTTGTATAGTATTCAAAATTTGTATTCTTCTACGATAAGAATAAAATCGATTTAAAACAACTTTTCAAAAAATTACAGTCAGAGTAGTTAAAACCCTATTAATATATATTAGTATATAAATTGAGGTAAAATTTCAATAATTAATAAACGAATTATGACAGAAATTTAATTTTTGACGCTTTCAAATATTTCAGGTTATATTATTGTCACAATTATTTTGCCGCATACCAGCTATCAAATTCTTATAATTACTGAACCCTTATTGCTATCGTTTGAAATTTTCAAAAGATTCTGTCGTTTCCCCCTCAAACTTAAAATCTTGGCATTTCAATTTGCATTATTTTTAATTTTTCAATCATGCATTCATGTTCCCAACAGTACAATAAAAACAGTTATAAAACCAAATTCAATTTTATGAACTTTTAGAAAAAGTTATTAATAAATCGTTTATTATATCATTAAATAATTAAATATTGAATTTTTGATTAAATTTTGATTACAATTTGTAAATTTGCTTTCCTAAATTCCCTTGTAACTGCAATTATCAACGAGATATATTTCCCCTATCTTTTTACTTATTAAAATTATTTCAAATCATTTTTTTTTAAATCTGTAAAGTTAAACACACGACCATTTTTATGCCCATTTCTCTATATTTATCTACCAATTGTTCAACTTTTAACATAGTTTGCATTTCATTTGAAAATTCTAATTTTAATTTGGAATAAAACTGGATTTATTACATAAAATATTCTATGAATTCAGACTCTTATCAATAATCGGATGCATACATTAATTGCAATCAATTTTTCTTTCCTTCTGGAACTAATCTTGGGGTTTTGATATTTAGGCAACTCATTTTACATATAAAAATTCATTGTCTCATCATGCAGATATGAAATTTATTCAGATTTTCATTTTGACTGATCTGAAATTAAACGTTTATTGTCAATATCTACCAATTGAACAAACGACAATGTACCAAATATACTTACAATAAATTGATTACATAATAATCATTACCATGACAGATTTTTATCCTTACACCAACTGAAGTTACTACTCAAGCGTCACTTTTTTGAATTAGAATAATCTAACTATGCAATTGGTAACTATATGAACAGCAATTTAGCATCATTTTCCAAAATGGTATCGTTTTTGTTAGTATTCAAAATTTTCTCAATTGAATCAATGAATATTAACCTTACTACTCCTGGTCAAACCAGTCAATTAACTAATCTTACAACAACCGAAGAAAACTCTACAATCTTTATAGAGGATGGCCTGCTTATGATTTCTGATATGAAGGAACTTAAAAAGAGATTCAAGCGCGAAAAGCTTAAACAGACACAAACTCAAGCTACCCAAGTTATGGAGCCAGCACCGATGCTATTAAATATGAATGATTCTCCAAAAATTAAGAAACGAATTATCAAAAGAAAGAGAAAGCTTCATAGAACCCCCGGAAACCATGAAAAAACAGGTAAGCTACCAACTCCTCCAGCTAAAATTCGTGAATGCTCAGATTTTATTCCAAAACTTGATTCGCCAAGAAGAAATAGTAACAATAGCCCTAAAAAACATTCTAAGAAACATCATAAAAACAAACATGCAGCTTCATTATCCAGATTAAGCCCTATACCCAAAATAAATAATGATAAATTTGATTTCCCTCCACCACCGAAGCCTAATTCCATGTTCAGATCTAGTAGCAATAACAATATACTGAATGACGAGCATGACAAAGTACATGGACATCATAATAGGACAGAATCGGCTGAATTTAGAGAAAGAAAGGGAATGATCAGCAAACATGACTCAATGATATTCTTTAAGAAACCAACTATACCATTAAGCGCCTCTGCACAAGCTTCTCTTAATTTAATAACAACAGGATTACATAGATCTCCAATGCCAATGATTCCAACTATACCAAAAGTTCCAAAGCCATTAGTTACTTGCGTAGATGATGTTACTCTCGATGCAACGCCGAGAAACTCATTTTCTCCAAAAACTCTTGGAAAACGCTCGACAAGACGAAAAGCAAAGTCAGAAGCATTACTAGTATCTCCTGTCCCGCAGTGGCCACAATTTCAAGTTGATCTTCTTCAATTGCCAGATGATTCGGAAATTGAGCTCGCTGCATCCAAGAAATACAACATATCCTTACTAGTTAAGAGCGTTAAGGAGCAGTGATCTATTAAAACTGTTTGGTTTGGAGAATTTTTGATATGATAATCGCCATCACACAAAATTATTATAATTTTTATTAATTATAATAGTTGAAGAACCCATTTACACTAAAATTTAGAATTTTTGTTTTTTTATAAAATTTTTTATCCGTTATGAACTCCCGTTTTCTCCCTGGACGGGATAAGGAAGTAAAACAGGGATTAGACACCGTTAGGAAGCTTGTACCTGTTGAAAATGCACAAGAAAATTCTGCCCGTATTCGAGAATCAATACCATCCAATTGGATATACAACGAAAAATATGTAAATAACGTTTGGGAGGATCTTGAACAATATACAAAGAAAAATATTCAATCTGCATACGCAGAACAAAATCCTTTCAAGCAAATTGATGATTCAGCTTCTAAAATTAGACAGATAATAGCTACTTTTGAATCACAAGATGAAGAGTTTATACTTAATTTCATGAATATTCTCGGTGAATCAGATGATTTTTCTGGCTCAAGTTTCGATTCAGATGCGATTTTCTTCGAAGCTCGTTCAAGATTACAAGATATGATTGACCAACACGTAGATTTTACCGTACGAGAAGGAAAACTACTCGAATCTATGGTTTTGTGGTATAAATTACAAAAGAATATGAAAATTGACGATTCAGATCAATTTACTGTTGACGAAATGAAGAAATACGACATTAAAAGACTACAAGATACTCTTGATGAACTAAATCGTATGAAAGAAGCAAGAGCTGAAGAGGCAACCTCATTACATCACGACATTGTCAGCAATTTAAGAGACAAAGTTAATGAATACCAAACACAACTTACTCAGAAAGAACTTCAGCTCTCGCAAATGCAACAAGAATCATCCAGAAACTTGAAAAATAAAAGAAGATCATCAAGAACTCCAACAAGAGCTTTGCAAACCGATGACGAGTTTCAAGACCAGCAAAGGAAGATCTTAGAACTCAATTCTCAAGTATCAAAACTCAAACAAGCCCTTATGGAAGTTTCTCAAAACGCAAAACCAGTTGAAGAAGCTCAAGAAATACTAAATAAAATTCCAGATCCTCTTCAATCTGAACAACCAACTATTGATCTTTCTGTAGCTAAAGAACTTGATTTCGAGAACAGAATAAAGAGTCTTAATGAACAACTAAAATCCGTGAAAGATGATTATAAAAACACAAGAGAACAATTTATGAAATCAAAACAAAACGAATTGTTATTAGAGAAGAAATTAGATGCTGCTGAACGACAAAAGAAATCATTAGAGTCACAACAAAACACATTACAAAAGAAATTGGACCAATTAGAAGCAAGTTTCAATGAAAGACTTGAAAATGCTAAAAATACAAATCCAAAATCAATCAAAGATGATGATAACTCTGCTTCAGAAATCATCAAAAAATATGAAGCAAAAATACAAGCAATGAATGAAACTAATCAATCAATGATTAAATCAATTGAAGAGTCATATAATACTAAACTCAAAGCACAGATGCAAACAATAACAAATGCTTTGAATAATGGTGATGCGAAGTCTGCTTTCGAAGAAACAACAAGGCAATTAAACATCCAACTTGAAAAAGCAAAAGTTGATGCAGAAAAAGTTGTAAGTGAAATGAAACAAAAAACTTCAGAACAATTAATGACAATGTCCAAACATTATGAAAATCTTTTGAGAAAGAAAACTCATGATATGGAAGCAATTCGTAATTCTGTTGATTCTGAAATCAAAAACAGATTGTTTGAAATCAGATTGGAATATGATGAGAAAACAAATCAAAAAATACTCCAAGAACAAGGAAAATATCAAACAGAAATAACTGAATTGAAAAACGGTTTATTAAAAGAAATTGACATTTTACAAAATAAATTGACAGATGTAACTCATCAAAAAGATGCTTACAAATCAATTCTAATCAATTCAGATCTCCTTGAAAGTGAAGAAGAGGAGGATATGGATGAAGATAAAACAAAAACTGATGATGACGTTCTCCAAAATTCTCTTTTAGCTTTGAAAGAAAGAGAAATTGAACAAAAAGTATCAGAAAAATACCAAATTCTTTTGAAAACACAACAAGAATTGTTGATGGATTCTAAGAAATGGGAATTAGAACAAGCAAGGATCTTCTTAGAAAACAAATACGATGATTACTTGCAAGATTTTAGAGTCAAAATTGCTGATGCTGTTCATAAAATTTATGATGAATCTCCTCATGACAATGTCGTTCTTGAGAAGCTGTTAATATCTGTTTTAGATCTTGTTGATAATGACAAGAAATTCGATAAACCAAAGAGTGAAAAAAGACCAGGAAATGAACCAACAATTCCTGTCCATGAAGTTGAAAGAAAAATGAATGAATTGACACAAAAAGTTGTTGAACTTAGCTCGGAAAACGAAATCCTTAGGAAATTTGCAAGCTCTAAATCAGATAGTAAAGATGTTATGGCAAAAATAGAAGAACAATCAAAGAAAATTGGAGAATTAACAAAAGAAAACTTGGATTTACAGAAAGAAATCAATGTTTTGTCATCGAAAGTTAATGCCCCTGTTGTTTCTCATGCAGCAACATCAAGAGAATTCCCTAAGCTAAAAGTTATTGATAAAGAAACTCAAACACTTGATTATAAACCAAACGTGACAATTAAAACGGATAAAATTAATACAAATCAATATCCGTCACTTTCCATTACAACTTCTCAATTATTTAACCTTAATTCAAACAATGATGATTTCTCTATGCATGCAGAGTGTTTGCATTGCCATAATGTATTTGGTTTCGAACCAGGTGATGTTCAGCATAAACTTGCAATGAGTTCTATTATTTCTTGTCCAATTTGCAGAAAGATGATGACTTTGCAAGATAATTTCGACGATAAAAACGGTTTAAGTAATTTGTTGTTAGATGAAACAAATCTTGACAATGTAATTAATATAGAAGAAAATGATAAGAAGCCACCAATCCAAATTTCAGATGAATTAAACAATTTTTCAGTTCCTCCAACACAAAGAGAGAAAGTTGAACTTCAAATTGATTTATCTCATGAAAATCATCAAAGTTCTCACTCCACAGCCAGAAGACAATCAACAAACGAAGAGAACGTATCATCAGGACGCCGTTCTTCTTTGGCAGATAGTGGAGAAATAGTTCCAGAAACTCCTTTAATTAACGAAATCCCTCAAAACGAAAAAAGAGAAGAAAATCAAAAACCAAATACCGAGGAAATCAAACCACAAAAAATCGAAAATGTTCCTGATCCGCAACTCCAGAAACTTGTTGAGAACAACACTGTGCTTCAAAAGAAGTTGATGCTTGCTGCACAAGCACTTAAAGACATGGAAAGACAATATAATGAAAGAGTTTCGTTTATGGAAAACAAAATCAACGAAATGCAAAAAGATTTCATCAGACAGAACCAATTGGCAATACAGGCATCGAAAGAACTTCCTCCCACTCAAGAAGGAAATGAACAAAAGAAGTACACAGTCAATAAAATTTATTCTCATGTCAGAGAGATTAAAAGTGTCATGAATTTCGACATTAATATGCCAAATCCTCCACCAAAATCACAGGAGCAAATGATAGATATAGCAGAAAACGCTTTGTTCGTAATGAAAGAAAAAATTGATGATAAAACAAAACCAGTAACTGTTAAAGGAGACTTGAACGGATTGCATCAAAAAATGACTAATTTCAGCTTGGAATTTGCTGGAATTAAAGGAACATTTAAACAATTTGTGAAGAAGACAAACGAGAAAAACAAAGAGTTGGCCGACCAACTAAAGGATTATCTTCTCAAATTCACAAAACAAAAGTCAAAGGAAGTTGAGAATTTACAGAAAGAAAAAGAAAGATTGAACAAAGATATAGAAAGATTGAACCAAACAATCAAAGAAAGGGAGAGGTTTATGAATAGTTTAAGAGACGAATTGGATAAAACAAGGAATGAAAATGATGATTTAAGAGAAGAAATACAAAGTTCTTTGACGGAAGTTCAAAAATTACAACTTTCAAGAGGTGAAAAATCACAACTGTTTAAGATAATGCAAGAAACAGAGTTAGACAGAGAAAAGCATATTGATTTGTTGACAGAAGATGTTGTCTCTGCTAAGAAAGAAGTTAATAAGATGCAGAATAATATGCAATCCTTGGAGAACCAAAACATACAGTTGAAAGACCAAATTATCACCGAAATTGAAAATCCGAAAAATGTTAAATCATCAAGAAGTGACAAAATGTCTAAGATTGAAGAAGAAACAAAACTCGATTTCGTTCCAAGTTTCGTTGTTTTCTCAACAAAAATGAAGATGAACAATGGCTTCGCTTTGGTTTCTAAAAATGAAATGAAAAACAAAAATTATTTCAATTCCCAACCTTTATTGATACAAACTGAAGATGATTCAAACGTTGTTTCAGCCAAAATACAGACACCGAAACATACAACTATCAAAGTATTAACTAGACCAAACCAAAGCCTAAGAATCACAACAGCAAAAACTGTTTCTCGGCCATTGAAAAATGTATTTCCAAGACCAATCTCTCCAAATATACAAAGCACAAGAGATGATGATGTCGTTCAATTCGACACGTTAATTCCTTTGACAGTTGATGATACTTCTTCATCTGTTATCGCTTATGTAACTCACTACGTGAAACAAAATGTTCCAAAGAATGACAGGAATAAGTCACTTCTTCTTCCAACACCTATTGATACAAGTGAAGCAAAGACAGCTATAGTTTCTTCACGCTCTAAAGGCAGCATTATAAAGCCACCTGAAACAAATCAAGCTCCTCAAACAATTGTTGTTGAGAAACCGGCAACAAATAGGTCAAAGAGTCCTAATGATAGGGAAGCTAATTTAGAAAAAAGAATCAAACAATTAGAACGTGTTATATCTGATAAAAGTAATGAAATTTGTACTTGTAATGACAAGATACACGAACTTAATGTTTTTGTTTTCAAAATTAAACAGGAAATCATCAAAATTGCTCGTCAGAAAAAGAAGAGTGACATGATGCTTGAATCTTCCAAGAGGCAACTTTCAAAGGCCATGGATCACTTGGTAGAAAGAGACAGGCACATTTCTGATTTGAAGAAGATTATTTCTGATTTCAGGAAGATCGCAGAAAGCCTCAAACAAGAGAAACAAATTAGTTCGTCAAGAACTACTTATTCCGGAAGAGACGATATTGTTCTCTTAAATTCTCTTTCATATGCAAAGATGGCTGATAATGAAATGAGATCTCTCGAGAGATGGAACTTGAGGAGAAAGAAGATTTTGGATGAAGAAAGAGACAAATTAATGAGAACATTGAGAGCAATTCGTTTGTTAGATGAAACTCCAATCAAACAGGATTTGGTGACCGTAACTTCCCAAAGATCTCCTTCAAAAGAAAAAAGAACAACTGTTACTCCAAACGCAAAAGAAATGATCAAGTAATTTTATTTTTATATATTTTTATTGTTTGTTTATTATTATTTTTAGAAAAATAAATTGGATACATATCTTTATGTTTGTATACACTTAATTTCTCTTTTTGTTAATGAAGAGCATAATATGATGCTTCAGTTCGACCTAATTAACTTCAACTAAATTTTGCCGTCAGGCTGACACTTCTGAAAAATAAAAATAAACTTAACGGAATCAGACACAAGAATAGACTGTAATAAATTAATGGAGAAAACATTCGAATAACAGACAAAGCTGTGACATGATTCTTCCATCCCAAAATTAAATAATAAAAAAAAATAATTTTTAAAACCTTTCTTCCTAATATCATTATAATCAATTTGATTCTTATTTACCTATGATGAACAGGATTATCGATATAGATACAACTCTAAATATCCATTTTTTTGAAAAAAATATAAATTCATAAAAAAAGTTGAGGAATTCTGATAAATATTGCAATTTATTTCTAATTAGTAATATCTACGGTAGCCGTAGCTTTCCTTCATATATGCAATCTTAAGAATGCAGACTGTCTTTCCTGGTCTTGGAGCATGGACCATTGATCCATCACCACAGCAGATGCCAACATGGTGAGCTGGGTTGCCGAAGTAGACAACATCACCAGCAGCGCCAGATCCTGCTTTTCCGCCTCTGGCCTGATCCTTGGCAACGCGTGGAACACCGTAGACGCCGCACTGGTTGTGTGAGTAGAGGACTAAGCCAGAGCAGTCGAACAAATCTGGTCCTGTGCCTCCGGACATGTATTGCTTTCCGATCCTGCTTTTAGCTACATTAAGGATGGCAGATCCACTGGCATTTGGAACCTCTCTTCTCTCGTGTCTACGGCGGGCAGATAAAGCTGCAGCAAAGAAGAAACTGAGCATTGTAGATTATGATTTTTGATTTGAAAGGTTCTGAAAAATTTTAGAAACCGTTTTTGACGTCAGGGCAACTTCATATTCTCCAAACATAATCCGCATTCGAATTTTGCCCAAATCTTATTTAACCATATGTAATCTATTCAAAAATTAAACTTCAACCATATATATGAAAAATTAAATTTTCTAATGTTTCCCTTTGGCTTATTCACATTATACTTATAATGGTAAGACTATATGACTAAGCGATTCTTATTATGTTATTATTTATTAAGTTTTATGCGAAAATGGTAAGAAAAACATCAAAATAATTACCGATGTATTTCTCAGAATTTATTTTAAATCTGATACGTTTTTTTAAATTACGAAATAGTGTAAAATGCAATAATGGACAAGTGCTAAATTCAGTGTGAATCTGCAAATAATTCAAAAAATTCACTTAGGCCTATCAAAAATTGAATGAACTGAAAATTTATTCATAAAGTATGCAGCCAACTAAACTTCACCTTATAACCGCACATTTTAGATGTGATGCATTGCATGGTGGGAAAAACAACTCCACGATGCATTATTCATTAAGTCGAAAAATTCAAAATAAAATTTATTGGTTCCCAACAATTAAAACTATCAAAAATGATTTTCAACAGCAGTGTCATAGCAAGGAATAACAAATTTTTCTCAAAATATCTTCAATTTGTTAAAAATATTTAAAAATGTGAACAAAAATTATTATGTAAAACAGAAATAGAAATATTTACAAAATCACACGTCAGAAATGAAATAAAACTGAAAAATAATTAAATCAATTTGATTTCAATGTTAAATCAAATACAAACATCAAATAAGTTAAAATCATTAAATTCATTTTCACCAATGTGCGTTTCCTTTTCATTAACAAGACAGAGCGAGCGATAACGAAGCCCAATCTGATACGTTTCTTCTTTTGAGAGTAAAACGTTGATTTCATCTTCTATTGTGAAATTTATACACTCAAGAACATCATGGAAGCTAAAAAACAAAGGTTTTTGCTTGGATGTCAATTTTAATTCGTGTCCAGAGAATTCTTGTGTTATGGATCCTTCATCACCCTTTTTATATCCTATAAACATTGAAGGGAGTGATGTTGCATTTGAAGGACGATGCATTTTAGAATTTCTCTGAATCAAGAGCATCATGACAGCTAACTTATGTACTTGTTCAATAAATATTACTGTTTTATCCTTTTCCTTTCTGTATTGATGCATAATTGTTATTTATTGATATGTACTTCTGATTCTTTGTCAAGTATCCAGCTGCAGTTAAAATTGATATAACATCATAGATGCGTCTCTGTGCAGTCTTAGCTTTTGAATCCAATAGCATATCTTTTGTCATAATTTCTGATATTTCTTTCATCGTTGAGCATCCAAGCTTCCTCACAGTGTCCATCACAGGCTTAGGAAGCTCAGACATGTATATGCATTCGCTTTTATCCTTTTGTGTTTTGTTTGTCATGGTTTTTGAGATGAATCAGAGAAATAGTGAACTTCCTATTTCAAAAAAAAAATTTTATTTGACATCAAAAATTCTGATTAAATTGATTATTGAACTATTAACAAGTTGCATGAAATTGCTCTTCAGCTTCAACAGCATAAATCGCCTTGGGTTGAATGAAAGATTCTACCATAAGGAGATAAATTTTAATAAAAATATGGCGAAATGATTTAATACGGCCTAATCATTCACTGCATCAAAGAGATTGATGTCACATGCATTAAACTATATATTTTTAATAATTAAAAAAAATGATATTCATTTAATTTCTTACATTTAAATAACATTATGAATGTAAAATTGATGTATATTAAGTTCATGAGTTTCATGCTTATAATAGTTGTATTCATATTTTTTTGATATTTTCAATTTGAATATACCAAGTCTAATTGTAGATTTAATGGGAATAAATTCATCTAAAACGGTTATAAAATTGAATCTAGCTCTTCAAATGATAATAACTTTCTGTATTAATTTGGTATTTCAGATAAAAGGTTCATAAATGCTAAATTTATTTCATGATTCAGACAATAAGCCTGTTATTTATAATGCTTAAACTTTGTTTGAATCAGAACTTGGTAATTATTTTTTGAATGAAATTTAATCTGAGCAACTGAATTTTTGAATGTACATTTTCTCCAAAAATATTTCTATCTGATAAAGCAAACAAACATGAAAAATTTATTCAAAACAAAAAGTTGTGAGTAAAAATTGTCTATAAGGATTATATATTATATCGAAACTATAACAAAATTCGCAATTTGGTTTTGGATTTCAAAAATAATCATCATCTGAATCTGAAAATCCTAAAACTTTAGAGGTATCTCTTTCTAAGCTAATATTGCTTTGTATGGAGTCACTAGATTTCGTTAATGAGTTGGAAAGTTGCTGATCATTTGTATTTTCAGCCTCAGAAACAGATGTATTTTTCTTCATAGGTGACTCGAAGTTCTTGGATGTAGAATTTTCATACCAGCTTAGGCTATTTTCTTGTTTATCAGGAGAATCAGAACTATCTGATAAAACAAAAGTAATGTGTTTTTGATCTCTATTCTTAATAGATGGAGGTTTCATTGGTTGGAGTGTTCTATTGAGGTCATGGTTAACTTTTACAGGAGTAATTTCTGGTTCAAAAACGTATCCTTTTTTATAAAGTGAACAGATTGGCCCATTACCTCTTTTCCATTGAGCTCCTTCACGTACTGATTGTTCATTCCAATCTATCAATTTACCTTGTATTTTCTTTTTTGAATCAAATCTGTTGAATTTATTTTCGTGTATTGGCGGAGAATTTTTAGTTACTGGAGAATGTAATAACGGAGGATAGGGATTTAGCTGTGGTGTCATTCCGGAATTGATTTTATTGATATTCATTGGAGCCAAAGTAGGCCCCAATTTTGGAATTATTCGATCGTGTGAAGGGATATTATTTAATTTTGCTTTAAGCATCTGTAACCTTGGGTTATGATTGATAGAATTTATTAAATAATTGCAATTTAACTCAACTCCTGGTAATTTTTGTGGTGAAACAAGAACTAATTTTAAAAGGGGCGATTGATATGCTCTGAATTCGAGGGCATTTTGAATTTGTTGTTCAATATCTAGGGAACATGTGTATAATCCGGCTTGAAAGACTAATAATTTTGGACCAGGTTGTATGGGTTTGGCCATTTGTATCCTCAATATTCTTTTTTCTTGGAATAAATTTAGCATCAGGCCAAAAGAAACGGGTTGAAATTGCTGAAATAATACATTTAGATCATAAGATCCGAGCGCATCCTCAACAATATTTGCGTCTTTTATAAAAACTTCTATGGAAATATCTTCTGTCATGAACTAAAAATTTTTATACGTTAAATTCAATTCTTTTGAATTCAAATTTTTGCAACAATCATTAATACTATTCGTATAATAAAATTTAATAAAATTTTGTCTTGTCAATTAATTCAATTCAAATGGTTTTTCATAAAATCAAAAGTATTGAAATTTAATCTAGGGTGGATTTCCTAAAAGAAAAGGATAAGAATTATAATTTATACAAGTACAGACATTGTATTTTGGGGAAGTTTAGTACTATCTTCTAATTTTGATTGATTTTGTATTCGTCTGGACTTGAATTCAATGTTTTTGTAAGATATTGGTGGATTTTGCATTATAGTATGGTTAAAAAGTATCAATGGATCAATGCATTTTAAATTATGTATTATTTAGATTCAATTTGAAAATCAATATGTAAAAAAATACAAATATATGTGTTTTTAGTCCTATTAAATATAAGTTAAATACTAGCAATATACGCATTAATCAATGGGAGGTTAGTTTGATAACTCATATTTATATTTATGAATGATTTCCTTCGAATTAAATATTCACTGACTTTTACCCAAATACTAACTGAATCTACTTCATCGCAATTAGATGGAATACGTCTGCGATTTTCATCATTAGTGGCCAACATTCCAATTGAAAAACACCAGAATTTATGGCCAGGACAACCATCTAAAAGAGTATACGGATAATTCGAGCGGGCAAGACCACCCCAACAGAATAAAGATGCTTGTATATCAAGGGGTTTATAGCCTGAAACAGTATGTGAAACATATCCTTCTGGTTTATTTATTGGATTATTAAGTTGCTGCCAAATATTATATTTATTAGCAGATTCATATACCAAGGCAAAAGTATATAATCCATCCTCTCCTCTTTGCTTGTTGCTGAGCTCAGAAAGAATGGAATATTTATCACGTCTATTACATGATATTGCTTCAGTAACTTGACTAAAAAATATTCCATTGGCTACGTTATCATAAAAAATTAACTGATATGGTTCATTTTTAATAAATCCAAATGTGTATTGTCCGATGTTAAATTGATTTTTGACAATCATTGGCAGTTAATACTCATACTAAAATTAAGTAAGGAATGAAAATAATTTTGTCACTTTTTTCACATTACTAATACATAAGTAGTATATGTGGATGGGTTGTGTGACTTTTTTTGTAACCGTAAGAATTCATACAATATAGAACGATTTTGTATCATTCTTACGGTTTTTATTCTCACGTTTTTGAATAAATCAAGATTTGAAAATTTTGAAAATTGTAAGACATTTACACTCAGCCCATACATAACGAAATAAACACATTAAAAAATTAACATTAATTTTAAAATAATTTATATTTCATCACTTATAAAAGAAGCTATATATAGATGATGTCAGGTTATTCAATAATTAAACATTGTTTAAATCCTGAATGGAATCAATGGAGTCATAATAGTAAAATAAATTAAAAATAATTGAAACTAATGATTATTTGAATTTATGAAATCAATTATTTGATTCATTCTTTCTTCAATCTCTTCTATTCTTTTTGTTAAATCATCTATTTTCATTAATGAGGTGATTCTTGATTGAGGAATAGATTTCAAACTAACCACTCCTTTTATTTTTGAAATTTTGAATCCATCAACTTTAAACATTTTATTCAATTTACATGTTGTCAATTCTTCAAATAATTTTTTATTATTAGCATAATAGTCATTAAATTCTTCAACAGATGAAAAAATTTTTATTTCAGTAATTGGTTTAACAACGTTTATTTTTTGTTGAACATTTTCACTTTCATTTATTTCTTCCTCCTCTGTTTCATTTATTTTTAAAATCGGTTTCATTTATCATTAAATAAAAATTAGAATATAAGTGATGAAATATATTTTTTAATTAATATTAAATCAGAAATGGCGGCAGGATTCTTTAAAAAATTATGGGATGGAATTAAGAAAGCTGCGGGTTGGGTTCATAAAAATTATATTAAACCCGTTGCAAACTTTTTGGCACCAGTAGCGAAAACGGCAGGAACTATCATAGGTGGAGTATTAGGTACTAAAGCAGGTAATCCGGCGATGGGAGCACAAGCAGGTAACGCAATTGGTGGAATTGCTGAAGGAATACTTAATAAAATAGGAGGTAGATAGTGGAAAAATAAATAAATATTATTTTTATCTTAGTATCGGTTGAAGTCTTTGATAAACTTTTTCTCCTTTATTTAATATTTCTCTTATTGGGGCAGCTTTTGGTGTTATTGATTCAGCAACGTCACTAATTGCTTCTTTATTCTTAAATATCCAATTTGCTCCTTTCTTCATTGTTTCCCAAACTTTATGCGCTCCTCTTTTTACTTTATCCCACAGTTTCTTAAATATACCTGCAGCCATAGTTGATTATTTCATTAAAATTAAAAATTCATTTTCATCTTTTAATTTTGATTTTTTTTTATTAATAAATGACGACTAACTATTTGGTGCCAAACACTAAACCGATTAATGGAAATGTGTTTCATTCATTCGAAAAGATAAATGAAATATTCGCAAAGAATGACGGTAGAAGATATTATAGAGAACTTGAAAGTTCATGCTATGACTCTGATGCTCCATATTTTGATGATAAACAAACTCATTTAAGAATTACAAATCCGGCTCATGATGTGAACCAATTAGGTGACACATATATTAAACGCAAAGTTAAAGCAACTCTAGTTTCAAATAAAGCTTTCACATGTGATGCCGCTTTTAAATGCATGCGTTTATTCGTTGGTTACAAATCATCAAATCAAAGCTTTAAACAATTAGAAGTAGAAACCGAAAGAGGTGATGCCGGTTATCTTCAGATGGATTGCGCCCGTGAATCTTTCGCATTTGCAACATATAAACCAAAATCAGAAAGGAAAGTTAAAAAGTTTGTTCATTCGTTATATAATAATGTTCAAAAATATGATAACTCAGTATGTGGTAAATATATTGACCCTTCAGAAGTTTTCAAGAAAGCAAATGAAGAAGTTGATGTCACTTTTGATATGATTATTCCGGTAAATGATTTGTTAGCATTTCAGGCGTTCGATGATTATCCTAAATCATTTGGTGAAATCATTCTTAAATATTATGTTTTCAGGGATACTTTAGTATTTTGTCAGGTTGACCCGTTAAGAGTTGCTGATTTACAAAATTACGTTTATGAAAAGATAACTGATGAAAATTATGAAAAGATTATGAATCATGTTTATAAATATGATCGCAAATTCCAACAAATCGGACTTCCTGCCAAATTAATTACAAGCTTAGCCGCTACATCTGCTGACGCAACAGTTGATGACGTTATTATTTCATGCACAAAGATGGAAGTTTTAGAGGATAAATGCATTACACCAGGATACGGTTTAATTGAAGAATCAGTTAAAGCAATACCACGTTTATTCAGTAAGGAAGATCCATTCATGATTCCAGCTCAACATATTGACGTTCGTTCACTAAATGGAGGTTGCATCACTCCTGAAGGTATCAGCTCAGATTTCTCATACGCTCTTCATAATGTTACAGATGTTGTGTTAACATTTCCGAAGAATGCAATGCAAAGAACAGTTTTAGAAAATCCAATGCTTCGAGGTCTTCAGGTCACTATAGATTCCAGAAACTTCCCCGATCAAGCGATGACCACAGTGGGTGACATATTCTTTACACGTATGCTTCAAGCTTCTGATTTAGATGGAGTGAATGAATGCACAGAAGAATACGAGGACTCATTAACTAGACCACTGAATGATGATAATGGCACGCCATTAGCTAGAACATGGAAAGACCAAACTTCATTCTTATGCACTATTCCAGTTCAACGTGATGGAGCGGGTATATTCTTTGATGGATTAGAAACTTTCAACTCACAAGTTACAGTACAAGTGAAAGCTTATCCAATCATTCAGGGTGAAAATGACACTTACTGTTCAAAGGTGACAAATCCTCCTCAGGTTTGGTTTACTAGGACTACATATTGGACATGGACACCGGATGAAGGTTTGAAATATCATCCAACAGGTACACCACCACAGTATAGAAGTTCATATGATGAAATATTGATGAATAGAAATGTTTAAAATTATAAATTTATTTTTGATTAAATGGATTTAAATTCATCCACCCTTATGAAGAATTAGCAGGAGTATATAATACATACGTAGATGATATGATTAATGAAGCATTGAGTGATAATAGAAATGCTCTATCTAAGGAAAAATTAATGAAAATTCCATATTCTGAATGTTACTTAAATTCAATCACTGCAGCAATTGGTAAACAAAATAAAGGTAAAACATTAACGATATTAAAACAAATTATCATTATTGCTAACACTTCCCCCATTCACATGTGTTAATTTATATCAACCGTTCAGGTTCACCTTCAGATGATACATTTGAATCTTTAAAGCATTTAATCAAAATTCCAATTATTTATTTATCACAAGAAGAAGCAGAAGATTATTTAAAAAACTTTTTAATGTATAAAGAATTATATAATACAATCAAGAAGCAAGGATTAGAGGATAAAATTATTGATAAACAACGGGATGAATTATTTGAAACACTTTCTATTTCAAATTTTGATAGAGAATTTTTGCATTCACTCATTTTTTCTAGATGATGCAGTGAAATCAAAACTAATAACAAATGAGAAATCATATTTTAATCAGTTATTAACTCAATGTCGACACATTCAGTGTTCATTCTTTATGGCTGTTCAATATTTCAAAGCATTAAGCACAAACATTAAATCAAATCTATCAACCCTTTTCATTTTCAGTGGGTTTAGTCGTCAACAGTTGAACGTTATGCTTTATCAAGTGAATTTACCAATGAGCATTAATGAACTTTACACACAATATCAGCAATTAGGTGAACATGGAAAAATAATAGTTGATTTAAATAAAGGTGTTAAATTTGATTAACTTTTTATAATTAATTTTTATTTTTTATTTATAATTAAACATGACAGAAATAGCAAATCTTCTACAGGTTCCATTAAAACAAGGGACAAACAAAAAGGGTGTATATATAATAGAACTATGAAAGTTCCAGACGGAATGAAAGAATTAGTTCATATTGTTGCTGGTCTTCAAAAAGATGTTAAACAAATGAGAAACGTTTTAACATTACCAGAAGCTCAAGCATATGCCAAACGTCATGGACCAAATTGGGAAGCACATGAAGCAGACATTACAGGACCAAATGGAAAACCTGATGGTATAAATGAAGTTTTCGTTACTGATGGTCAAGGTAATATTAAAGTCATAAATGGGTATAAATTAACAATGACGATTATCCTAAACGTAAAGCATATAATGAACGTTATCCTATGCAATTTGATGAAAATGGAAAAGCTGTTAAACAATACATTGGAGAAGGTGAAAATGGTCCAATTAATTCATACCGTCTAATCCATATTCTTATTTCAATGAAGAATTAAATGCTATTGAAGAGGGACCGGATGGATTACCACGATATGTTAATCAGTTTGATGGTCAATATGCAAATATTAGACCTGAAATTCCAGCTAAGAAATTCTTTAAAGTTGCTTTATTCGATCCAGTGTTCAATGAACAGAAAGAAGCAATGAAAGCAGAATTTAAACCAATTCAAGTGGCAAGAATTTCTTCATCTTCACTTTCAGAAGCGTTCAAGGAATTGATAAAGAAACCACTTTATTCTCAACAAGGTTATAACTTTGATTTAATTAAAGAAAGTGATAGACGTAAATTAGAAAAATCAGATGGTTTTAAGAATGCATGTAATGAAATGATTAAAGATATTGTAAATGATAAAATAAGACTGGAAGAAACTCAAAGCAATATCAATAACATAATTGGTGCAGTTACAAAGAAAGTATAAGCAAACAATGATGAACCTTGGGATATTACCGTAACAACTAAATAAAACTTTAAATATATTTTTCTTTTTTTTATTCATTATAAATGAGAAGACGTTTCACAAGTCAAAAGAACACAAACGCAAAAGCAGAGATTACGGTTGGTTATAACGTAAATGATGATAAATCACGAATTATTCAAAATGTTAAAGTTAATGTTAGCCCTGAATTAACAAGGTCAGCAACTCAACCAAATTTATTAACTCGTGACTTACCGAAATGAAGAATGAAGAAAACCATGAGAATGGAGACCCAATCATTTTATCTGAACCTGGTAAAGAACCTGTTGAAATTCCCACTTATCCAACATACCCCCCACCTCTTTCATCAAACATCGAGAACCCATATAAAATAGACATTAATTCTGAATTAATGAAAATTTACCGTGATATAATAACTGATAATTATGATTCAATAATAAATTTAATTGACCAATCCGGTTTAATTATTTTACCTTATGAATCATTAATTCACATTATCGCCATTCTTTGTGATGTTCAAGATTCAGACGTTAAGATTCAATTTTTCATAGATGATGAGGTTTCATGCTGCGGAACAGTTGCAAAAATAAATCCTATAAAGGATATTAGCACAATTAAGATATCAAAGAACGGAACAACAACTGAACTTCATTTAACATATAATGATATTTATAATAAAATAGTTGATGAATATAAAATATCACTTGAAAAATTCTTTGTTAAGGCTATTTAATATTCAAGCATTAACATTATTGAATAATAATCCTTTGAATCATAATCAATAATAATTGACCTTTCACCAGTTTCTATCGTTTGTTTTATTTCTTTTTGTTCCCCACTATCTGGATCGGTCATTGTAATTGTTTTTGTTATAGTATCAGCTTTATCTTTAACTTCAATCTTTTTTCCATCGGGATATTTAAACCAAAATTCCAAAAATTCGATATTGTCAATCTGTTCATATTTTAATCTATCAATTACATTTTTAATACCATCTGAAAATCTTATGAAATGGTCATTATATGGGTTTGATTGAACTAAATTTGAATGAAGTGAAATATAACCTGTTGATGAATATGACATTGACTCATATTTTCTGAAACACTAAAATTTATAACATGAATGAATTTCTTATTCGTTGAATTTATGAATTCTTGAGGTAATCTTATTCTAGTTTTATTTATCACTGGAAAATAACGCTTTACCATATTTTTAATCGTAATAAAAATGTCAATTATCAATATTATTTCGAATAATAACTGTGAATTAAATTTAACAGTTAGCGGAATTTATAATGTTACTCTCGTTTCTGTGAGTGGTAAATTTAATCCCATTCTTTTAGACCCTTCAGATTATATATCATTTATTAAAGATGACCTTGAAAAAACGTATGATATGTATATAAATAATGTGATAGCGAAATGGGATATTAACATGATTTTAAGTTATTTAAATGAATCATTTATCGTATGGTATGAAGAAAATTTTAAATCAAAACCTGATAAACTTTTTGAACTTGATGAAATAAATAACCTTATTAAATTCCGCTGAAAATTAAATTTTGTACTCCTCATCTTCGTTCATTGTTGGGGATATTAAATTTTGAAAAAGATGTTGGGGATGTTTTGTATTCTGACACTGGTTCCAATTTCATTTTAATCAAATGTGATAAAGTTAATACCCCAATGAGATTTTCACATCAAACATTAGACCCTAACTCTTACCCATCAATACAAAACATTTTATCCATCAACTTAAACACATTTTCTTTATCATATCCGTTTCAATTATCTGGGAATTCATTTATTCTTCATTCAAAAGATTTATCAAATATTAAATTTAGAGTAACTGACCTATTTGATTGTGATTTAGAATTCATGAATGAAATATTATGGCAATTTCAAATAGAAAAAATAGCTGATGAGATAACAGATTAAATATTTATTTTTAAATCATAATAAATGATTAAACAACAGCAACCACAACAACTTAAGGCACAAAGCACCCAGGTCCCTCAGACCATTACATACGCCATATATGCATATAATTCAAAGACGGCAGAACAAACGCAAAGGTTGAAATATGGAGATTTGGAGATAGTATTGAAAAATGACCATTTCGAATTCGTTTGCAAAGGTGGTGCAGTGATATCAAATATAAAAGAAATTTTATTTATGAATTCTAAAATTAAAGGTATATACGGATGATATAACATCAATTCCACCAGAAGAACAGAGATATTACGCATTAAATGCATTTCCTAAAGTTTTGAAGATTGGAAGATTTAATTTAAATGAGGAATTCATAAAAGGTTTCCTAAATGACATAATGAAGAAAGCGGATAAGGAATGTGTTGCTGCTGCGTTAGAGAAGAAAGCGGATAAGGAATATGTTAACGAAAAAGATAATGAAATTAAAGAAAGTGTTGAATGGTATCATGAATGGACATCAAAGATTTTAAAAACTAAAGCCGATACAGGATGGGTTTCAGGATGTTTAGACCTTAAAGCGGATAAAACATATGTTAACGATGAGTTAGAGAAGAAAGCGGATAAGGAATGTGTTGCTGCTGCGTTAGAGAAGAAAGCGGATAAGGAATATGTTAACGAAAAAGATAATGAAATTAAAGAAAGTGTTGAATGGTATCATGAATGGACATCAAAGATTTTAAAAACTAAAGCCGATACAGGATGGGTTTCAGGATGTTTAGACCTTAAAGCGGATAAAACATATGTTAACGATGAGTTAGAGAAGAAAGCGGATAAGGAATGTGTGGATAGTGAGTTAATGAAGAAAGCTAATATATCATTTGTTAATGAAGAAATAAAACAATCAGAGGTCTATTTTACTCCGCCATTTTTAAATTTTATGAAATCATCAGATAAAACCTTTGATATAGATTCTTTTGAATGGATATGTTTCGATGGAGTGACCATGTATTTATTTTATACAGATGGAGTGCTTTATTATTTTAAAACAAATGATTTTAAAAACTATGAATCATTTACTCCATCTGTTTTGAATCCTGATACACGAAAGCCAATCATTAATCCAATAATTTTATATGTTGAATATAATAACGGTAAATTTATGGGAATGATAACGGTTGAAGATGATTTTTGCCCTTGTTATTCATTCGATTGTATCCAATGGTTCAAATGTAATTTAAATCAAGATGCTAAATTTAAATATCCAAATAATCCTATTAGATGTGTTAATAATAAATGGGTACTAATTTATGAAGTCAATCAAATTTTCATTAGTGAGGATGGGATAAATTATTATATGTTTAGTATGATGTCATCAGATTTGAAAATTGATTATACAAGTAAGTGGTATTACATTAACAACATGTATTTTATCCTACAAAATGATAAAATTTATAGATCATCTTCAATATCACAAGTCAATTTGAACAAATTTTTCAAGCTGATGGAGACATTGAAGCTTTATGTTATGGATCAAATGTTTATGTTCTCGTTTCAGGTGAAATGGTCTATTCATATCCTGTAAGTTATAACAGACATATTTATTTATCACAGGATTTATCAAATTGGGAATTGGTTTATTCATTCACTCCAAAATTTACTCAAAATTATAGATTTACAAATTTATTTTATATTGATGGGTATTTCATTGCTTTAGGATGTGGTGATTTAGTAAATATCAGTAGTGATGGAAGAAACTGGTCTGAAATCACAAAATTTCAAGATGTTAGAAAAGCAATTTTCAAAAATAATACGTTAATATTGATAACAAGACCAGTTTTAAATACTCACCCAAATTCAATATTATATAATAAATTCAATATTCATAATGGATTAAATACAATTCTTGAGATGATTTACCCCATTGGTTCTATTTATACGTCAATGAACTCAACAAATCCTTCAAAAGTTTTAGGTTTCGGTATGTGGGAACAGATTGTAGATAAATTCCTCTATTGTGCTAGATATTCAAAGCAAACAGGAGGTTCGAAGAAAATTACTGAAGCAAACCTTCCACCGCACACTCATACGGGAACTACAAACTTTTCTGGCGACCATAGCCACTCATTAAGAGACCATCCATTATACAACTCAGAATATTATGCTGGCTATGACGTTTTATCTCCAGATTATAACCATTCGGCAAAAAAAGACTTTTCGACCAACTGAACCAGGAGGAAATCATTCACATACTTTCACAACAAATCCAACAGGCTTGGGTAAAGATTATATGCCTCCATTTATGACTGTATTCGCATGGTACCGCATTTATTGAATGTGCTTGAGCCTACTTTGCAGGCTTACCACGTTCATTGAATGAACTAAATATATTTTATGTTTGTAATTAATTAGGTAATGAAGTAATGAATGAACTGCAGAAATAAATGTTTACGTTAATGTTTACAGGTTATTCAATAATGAATTATTTTTGAAGAACTGAAGGTGCTACCATGTTACCATGTGCTACCAGGTCATTTAACTTCTCTGAAAAAGTGTGACAACATGACATTTTGACAACACAGCAGGATTAATGCAAAAATAAATTCCAATCATACTTTATAAAGCTTCATTTACAGGTATTTCATCGTCAGTAAATGAATCATCATTATCGTTTGGTTCAACCTGTTTATATAATCCTTTCATTTCTTCTTTCAAAACATAACACCATGTTTGTTTACCGTCTATTCTTCTATGTTTCCTATCACATTTATCCTTAATACTCATTTGGAAATTCTTGTCTTTCATGTCTGATGGTTTGCAGAATAGAGCATTTTCACACGTCATACCTGCACACAATTCATCATAATGTGTATTTATCCATACATCTAAAGGATTTGTTGATAACTCGATTAAATCTTGTTTGGCTTCAGTCATCGGTATGATTCGTACATTAAATGATGAAAGGTCATATTGCATAAAATATGTTAAAAGGTTATCATAAAATTCCTTTGTGCATGAATTCATCAAATTCTTGAAGTAATCAAATTGACCCTTGAATTTACCATTAACCCTTAAAACTACGTATCTTCTGTCTCCAACTTCAATTTTGACAGGGTAGACGTTGTTAGTTACGAAAATGAAATTGGCAACATTCTGTGCTGTTCTTCTGGGTTGATTCTTTTCATTAATTCTAATCGCATTATCTGTAATAATTGATTTCAAAGCGTTGAAGTTTGCGAGTCTGTCTTCACCCACATTCTTGAGTTCATTAAGTATACAAGAAACATTTTATTCTCAACTACTGAATTGAAATTACCCGTTAGCTCACTTATTTCAGTAATGTTTTTACATGAATAACCAGCGAGGAGTTCAGAAATAATGTCTGTAAATCTGTTTTTACCTGTTCCCTGAAGTCCTTTCAAAATAATTGCTGTTTCATTCTTGATTCCAGGATGTTGAATCATTGATGCAATCCAGCCGAGAAGGTATTTATACACTTCATCGTTATTATCACAAATGGCTTCTTTAATGAAATTCATAAACATCTCAATTTTTGAGTAATCTGGTTTTTCGAGAATGTTGTATTTATAACCCTGAAACGTTGAGAAAACATCTGGGAAATCAGATTTAAAGCAAACACCCTTAACGGTTAATGAGGATAATTGATTTAGTAGTACATCCCATGCTGTTATGGTTTTACCTTCTTCTTTAAATAATTTAATCATTTTGAGTGACTCTTTCATGTTTGATTGAAGAACGAATGATATTGATTCATTTTGTCGTGGATATTATAGTCCTTTTGAATGAAATATTTATTTCCACAATCTACAAAACGGATTACACGTGATAAATCCTCAATTACTTCAGAACTGTTTTTATACTGATGATTTTCAGCCTTGCGTCTAATATCTGTTATCAAGAATGAATCATCAAGTTTTATATCAAATGTTATTTTTGGCTTACGTAATAAAGGTAAAACGTATTCATCATAATATTCCTTTTGGTATAGTTTTAGAATCTTCACTAAAACAAATGGAGAAGTCATTAAATGTGCATATCTACTACGTGCTTTTTCAAAATTACTTTTAGCATTTTCAGTTAAATTGCAGAAGTTATAAACGTTATCGTAGGCTTCATTAATTAAATGATTAGGTAACGAATTAATTGCTTGAAACAGTGTGAATAATGTAACTTCTTTTTCTAAATTCATGTTTCCACCGTCATTATGTACTTCAAAATCACAGATGCCATCAACTATGCTCTGGGCAAGTTTATCGTCAATGTTTACATCTTTGTTTTCATTCATTATACTCTTTATTTCTTCATTCTTCTGTTCAACTCTTACCTTAATATTCAAATCATTTAATATATCATTCACTGTTCTGGTTAATGTTGAATCATAACTTCCACGAATGAATGAGTATGTATTGATTGGTTCTGTTGCATTCTTGCGAACTCTTGAATCAGCCATAACTACTAAAGAACGCTTTGAATCATCCATAGAAGTCATTATATCAATATCATAATCATTGCAGGAATAGCATTTAATCATTCTGTTCGAAACTGCATAGAAGAAATTAGTGTTGCAATAAATGTGAAGACCTCCTGAAGCGGTTTTAACAATAACATCTTTATCCGAAAGTTTTGATAGAATGTCTTTTCTAACTGTTTCTTTAAGTTCATCATTGTACGATTTATTGATATCAATATCTATAATCGTTAAATTTGAAATTTTATTTACTAATAAAGCTGTACCAGTTTTCCTTCCTCTTCCTCCATCGTGTTTGAGGTAGTTATGTAAATCAATCTTGTTTTCACCAATTCTTTCGTTGAGGGTTTTAGTTTCTGCCACAACTAATTCCTCAGCTAATGAATCAATAACTTGTTCATCAGAAATGATAAAGTTACTGTTGTTGTTGTTTGTTGCTGTCATTTATATAGGAATAAAAAAATAAAAATAATTTTAAAACTAACTTTATTTTTGGGTCATTTACACTCATTTACGATGAAGTCATGACAAATCATTTCCTGTGTTGTTGTCAAAATGTCATGAGGTTAGAAATGAGGTTAGATCTAACCATCTACCCTAAAAATTATTTTTGGTGAATTCAATAAAAATAAATGGTTCATTTACTCACAATATTTTTGTACAAAACAACCCCAAGCTTTTAACTTCTTTTCTGCAGCTTCTAATGCTATCTTAGCGAGTTCATATTCTCTAAATTCTCTCTTTAAATTTTCTTGTTCCCATTGGTCTAGTTCGAATGGAGAATCTCTATAACCATAACATAACTCACGTTCATGTTCTAATTGTTTTTCGCACATTTTTCTAACTTCTTCTTCAAACAAAGGTTTAGCATTCTCTACTGTATCTTCAAGTTCTTCTTCATCTAATTTCTCATGAACTTTCTTGTCTATGGAGTCCATAATATCTTTGACATAAAATGCATACTTTACAGAGCACCATTCAGCAACAAAATGAACGAGGTCAGGATGTATGTAAATACCTTTGAATTCATTTATAACACCCTTTGTAAGCTCATAAAATGCTTGTTTTGAGGTCGAGCCACTTTTGGCTCCACCGTATTCGTTCATCCAAAACTCAAGAATTTCCTGCATTTTAGTACTATTGAGAAATCTGTTTAAATGGTTTAACTTTCCTGCTTCTCTTGCCATCTTTGTTGCATTAATGTAACCATCCTTGTCTCTACGTAAGACTTCAATACCGTTATAAGTGCCTTTTGTGAATGTTTCGCCATTAGATTTGTTAGTGAATGTTTTTGCTTCGACTGACATTTCTGTTCTTACATACAAAATAAAAAAATAAAAATAATTTTAAAACTAACTTTATATTTGGGTCATTTACACTCATTCCGATGAAGTCATGACAAATCATTTCCTGTGTTGTTGTCAAAATGTCATGTTGTCACACTTTTTCAGAGAAGTTAAATGACCTGGTAGCACATGGTAACATGGTAGCACCTTCAGTTCTTCAAAAATAAGTCATTATTGAATAACCTGTGTTGTTGTCACAAACTTTAGAACGGCATAATTTAAATTTTTATTTTTATCATAAATGGATACCCCACAAGCTCAAAATTTACCACGAATCATAACAAGGGAGGAAATGATAAAAATGATGCAAGAACATGTTAAAAATAACAAACCACTAAAATTGAGAAAATGTGGTTATGCAGTAATGATGGAAAGAGAGATGTTGTCAAAGAGGAATAAAAATTAAATTTGGATTGAGTTTAAAAATTCATCTTTATTAAATTCATCTCTTCCAATCAATTTATTTATTCTATTAAATTCTTTTATTTTTGCTTCACTCAGTTTAAGGATTGAACGGTAAGTTTCTAATTTTTCGATTATTTCTTTATCGTTTTCAGTTCCATTAGTTTTATGGGCATCAACCCCACCGCATTGTGGCTTCTTTTTGTAATAGCATATTTTTGATTTAATTCTGTTTAGTTTCTTTTTATATTCATCGTCTGGACTCTTGACTGCTTCGTTGTCACTCATTTCTTACGAAATAAAAAAAATTAAATATTATTTAAATATAATGGAGTAATAAAATAAATCGGAATTTCTATTAATTTATTGTCAACTTCAACTAATACATTACCGTTAATATATCTAACAAATTCAGCTATTGTGTCAAATCTTCGTCTTCTTTTTGTCATTGATTTATCAGTTTTTCCATAATCGAGATGAATCAAAACTTTATCCCCTTGTTTAAAATTCATGAGCCCCGAATTAATTTGTTCACGTTTAACATCATTCAACCTTTCCATTTGCTTTCTAATATATTCCCATTCTTTTGAAATATCATTTTTCATTTCCACTGGTTTCATGTTTATAGTTCTATGCCATGTATTATTATAATAATATACTAACTGTTGTATGATGGAGTCATGATTTCCATCCCAGTATATCTGACCGTTAACCCCTAACGCATCTCTAAGAGTTCTCATTACTGCATCAACTATTTTATTATGAAATGTATATGGAGAGGATGAAAAGAAAAAATTAATTTGTGGGAAATAATGAGCCATAGCTGCCTGAAATCCTTTATCACCATCACCCCTGATATTATCTACTCTTTCATGATCTAGTAAGTATTGTATAGCTCTTCTTGTTTCCTGTTCTGTTTTCCCTTTCACTGGAATGCAATATAAATATCTAGTGTTAATGTTAATGGCAAATAAATAAGTAACTTTTCCTTTTGAATATTCCAGATGATCGATTTCGTATGAATATGGATATGGAGCAAATGAGGGGCGACTAAATTTTTCCTTTAACGGTTGAATTTTTGGGTCAATTGGTTTATTTAATATCTTGAAATCCTTTTTAAAATCTTTTTGCTTCTTTAATGTTTGAAATGGATATAATAAAGTGAATGATGAAGGATTAACTGAAGGAGGAGGCGGTACTGTCGTTGGAGGTTTTGGTGTTGCAGGTGGTTTAATTTTATCTGCTTTGATTTTGGAATTCATTCCTTCCTTCATTAATTCTGGATGTATTCTATTCATTTGTTTTAAATATGCTGTATATAAAGGTTTGATATACTTTCCCGCTTCGAGTTTATGTTGAAGGATGAATTCCAAAAGTTGATCTTCATTTAAAAGTCGGGCTGAATATGGTTTAACTAATGAATCATAAATTAAAGCTTGTGCTTCATTTATGGTCTGAAGAACCTGGGCGTTTTGTTCCTTTTGTTTTTGTTCCTTTTGCTTTTGCGGCTCAGGATTATATAAATTATATAATTCATCAATATCTTCTTCTGTTAATACTTTATTTTTGAAATCTTTCAACTGTTTAAGTTGTGATTTAGTTTTTCCCTTTGTATATTCATTATTTTTAATTTTGTCTTTAATTTCAGAAATTATTTTATCATGATATTTCAAAACTTCATTTTTATAATATGGATAATAATATTCCATATCATCACCCGTTATAGTGTTATCATATTTTTGGAGATATGATTTTAAATCATAATAACTAAGAAAATTTTGATTAAGTACTAAATCATCAATTAAAATTTTTAAATATGTGTTATTCATTTATATAAAAATAAAATAAATGTTTAAGGGTGCCCACCTCTTTGAATCATAGTATCAAAACCATTATTAACGGTTCCTTTTGTCTCTTCTGTGGCATTTCATTAAAAATAAAATTTTAAATTGTATTAAATAAATGGCATACAACATCCATTTTCACAACATACAGCCTTAGTGTGTGCTCCTGTTAATGCAGTCTTACCGATTGTTAAGCGAGTCATTGACCTGTTTTTAAGTTGTAAATTAATATTCTGACCATCAAATATCACTTTATCATTTATTATATCCAAATATTTTTTAGGTGTTAATTGCTTATTTTGTCGTAAACTAACACCCTTCATTTTTTGTGCAATCTTTTTAAAATCACTTCCATCAATTGAACCGTTGAATGATGTATAACATTTAGGGCATAAAGCAACCATGTTATCACCTTGTTTCTCAATTGCTAAACCCAATAATTTTTTCTCATGTGCTTTTTCTTCAGCTTTATTCTTTAATTTAGGTTTAAATTTCTCATCAAAACAGAAGAAATCAAATGGTGCGAATTTGAAAATGTTTTTATCATAAAATTGTTTATCGGTTACAATTGCTTGAAATGCTTGAGTGTTAGGAAGATTTGGGTCGCCAGCAATAGCCCAATAAGATGAATCAGTATCACCTTCAATGAAATGAAAACGATTAACATCCATGCATTTATACATAAAATCATAAATGAAAACCAAATACCAGTATTTAGCATTATCTAAAGTGAAGAATGCCTCTTGTAAACATGAATCACATCTATAAAATCTATCTTTGAGCATCAGTTGATACGTATCCTCTCCTATTTCTCTTATGTTTTTAAACTTATTTGACATACATGCAACGCGTGCCTTCTGTGCATTCATTATTTTAGTCTTTGCGTAATTTTGTGTATTCATTGCATCGTAACCATATGATCCATTAAGTGAAATCTTGCAAAATAAACTTTTTCCTTTATTTCCTTCTAATTCAGCCTTTTGTCTTTCGTTCATAAATTTGTTCGCAAATTCATTAAAGCAAGTGTTTTTAGTAAATGTTAAAATTGATTGAATATCATCAATGATAAAATGAAATCTGTCTATTAGATACCATAGATAATAAGAAGAAAATGGTGGATATTGGTTGTGTGTTGATGCTAACTGAGTTAATTTCCTCTGTTTCTGGTCAACTGGTAGATTGTTTGATTTCATGTAATTATACATAAAACTACCAATTGTTTTTTCATCTGTGATAATATCTAAGTTTCTTATTATCGGTAAAAAGTTTATGTAATCATTAATGTATTTTTCATCAATGTGACCCTTTACTTCAGCCACGAATAAAGTATTTTTCTTCTTAATTATTCCCAGTGTTTTTGCTTTCTTTGTTGCTGTATCACAAATGATAACACCATTCAATCTTCCCGGCATATACATTTTATGGTCAGTATATTGAATGAAATCATGAGGATTAGATGAAAATGATGAAGGATATAATGAATTAAAGTCAACACCAACGAAATGAGTCATAATGTTGGTGGTGTCCTCATTTGATACAGTTTTAGTTTCTGGATTATATGAAAGTTTATTAATGTGCGTGATTCCTTTAAGATTTACTCTATGTTGAACATTTGATAAACCACCAGTAATTCCATTACGGAGAATGTGATAAGCTTCAACTGAATCTAAAGTCATTGGTAAATTATTTTTTAATGCATAATTTCTTAAATTGATTCTTAAACGTTGAACATCTTCATCTTTATTTGATTTTACGACATTGCAATAACAACACATTAACTGACAATTTTCTTTGGTGTGTGGTTTTTCATTATCGATTCTATCCAATGTTGGTTTATTTGCATATGTAAACGCTTTACCACACATTTTGCATTTAGATGAAAGGATTAAATCGTGATAGTATTGAAAATCATCCATTGAAACATTATTTTTAGTATCCCTTTCTGCTTTTTCATCTTGTTTCTTATATGATTCAATTTTATATTTCCAATACTTTTTCGTTAATTCAAAACTTGATTCTATCTCTTCCTCAGGATATTTTTCATTAGGATTAAAGTCTTTATATGCTAAAGCGTAACGAATCATTGAAGCATTCGATGATAAAGAAAGATTATGAAGCATGTCAATTTTATAAACAAATGTTTCTTCAATAATTTTATCAATTGGGTCAATCATAATTTCAACATCTTTATTGCAATAATGAATAAAATATTCTAATCTATTCTTAAAATTTTTAGCATCATTGAGATATATTTGATAATCACTATCTGATATAGTTTCTTGAGTTAATGCTGAATAAAATGAATCTTGAGTGAATGGTTCTTTTATATAATTCTTCTTCGTAATTTTCCCACGTGATGAATTGATAAGGGAAAAAGGATTTAACACGTGATTTATTGTTTCCGAAATCTTGAGTGAATTGGTCTAATGTCCCACCCGCTATATAATTTCTGATGTCAATAAATCTCAATTCATATGGAACGTTTGTTTTCTTTACAATGATTTGCTTAAATTGTGAAGATGAACCCAGCATTGATTTTATTTTCCATTTTGCAGTGTTTAAATCACGAAGAATTAAATTTAAATCAAACTTTCCCGAATTAAAACCTATGATATTCACTTTATTGAATTCCTCATCTAGAAGTTCTTTAAATGCTTCCTTCTGTTTTTCATTTAATGTATGAGACAAAGTCCCCGCCGTTTGGTCCGTTTGCGACTTCAATAATTCTTCATATTGTTCTCATATTGTTTCCAATATTGATTTGAGCAACTAGTATGAACATTGTGTTGAAAATAAAACTCAATCCATCAGAAATAAAAGAATCACTCGAAGTTAAGCAAAAATTCCTCGTATATTGTTTTATCATTTAATTTAACCGTTGATGATACCATGAATGGTTTTAAGTAAAGCTTCAAAGTTGCACACTCAGAAAGTTGTAATTCTTCTTTAGTCTCTAATGTTCGAAAGTCAAAAGTAATTAATATAATCTTGTTTGGTTTAAGTATTTCCTGCAAAATTATGTGCTAATAGCCATTTGATATATCTTCCTGTTTTACGTGATATGTTGGAATGCATATGGTTGCGTGTCTTTTGCAAACCTGAACGTCTTGAATTAATCTTACCATTATTTTCTTTACATTTCTCACAATGTTTTTAAAATCGTTCTTTTGGTTTTTCCTTTCTGGTCATCTACGGATAGAAAATAAACTCTCTTCTTTGCAAATAGGGACAAACTTTATATCCGTGTGAAGTGTATCAACGGTCTAGTTAATTCTGTCAGCGCTGAAGTCTCCAACATTGGACTCATGTGTTAATTAAAATATTTATGTTTCAACATTCTGGATCTTATCATTAATTGATCCCACTAATTTTGAGCAAAGTCAATACCTTATTTATGTCCAGTCTTCTGGTTGAGGATCACAATAATAAAATCAAGTATTAACAATTTAACATTCTGGCCTATACCTCTCACTTTTCTGACTGAAAGTCAAACCCTTCATTTGCAATCTATGGCTTATATTAATAGCTTCTACAACAGAGTTTCTAGATATAACACCATCAGGTGCAACATGTTATAAAGCGTTTAAAAACCTCTTACCTTCGCTCTAATTTGATTTATCTATTTTAGCTGTTCGTCCTTTTGTTCATTTATTGTAAGAATTAAAAAATATATAAAAAGATAAAGTTTATTTTTAAAGCCCATAAAATGAATTAAAACACATAATTTTTATCATCTCGCGACGTTGACGAATACATTTTAATTTACTCAGAATGGTACCCTGATACACTATAAATCTATTTCCCCCCGTTCTTATTTACATTTCACAACTTTGAAACAGGTAATATGATGAATAGCTATAAAGATGATAAAGATGTTTTATGGGTTGCTTCCATTTTGCTTCGAATAAATGAATAATATAAATGCTTGTCATAGTTTCATATCTTTTATATTTCTTAATAACGACAATGGGTTAGACTACTTACCACTTCTTCTTCTTCGGTGCTGTTTCTTTACATATGAACAACATTATTTGGTACTTCAAAAATGATAACCATCACACAAAATTTTATAGTTCCAATGGTTTCTTTTGATCATTTCTTATCTAAACAATCAAAAACTTTTATCACGACACCTGTGACATTTTATTTAAATATATAATTTTGGCCTAAAATAATACTCACATGAATCTCTCTTTCTCAATCGTATTTAGTATGCATATGTTCACGTTTTTAAGAAAGGCTTTTTTGAAAATCTACTAGAAGCCGAATAGAGTGCGCAGATCGCAGAAAAGAAAGTTGAAAATACATCGCATGGATAATCTCATTCAAGTCATAAACTGAAGCTCTCATGTGTATTGAATATTCTGTGCCTTTCTTCTATAAGGGTTCCGTCTAATATCAATCTAATAACATTTCGTGTGTATGAATTCTGAAGAAACATAATTTTTATATCTCTTCTTCATGAGACCTTTCTATGAAACATCTCTGATCTGAAGCTGGATATTCATATAACCCTTCTACTTCCATTTTCAATTATATTTTAACTTCTAATAGTCACTGTAATACCTTAATTTTTCATCTATTTACTATCAATCCTTCTATATTTTAATACCAGATTTCTCAACAAGAATTCTCCACTCATACGAGCGATTAGTTAAAATGATATCGTATAGTAACTAATTTTTAACTTCGACAAATCATTCCAGGATATGGAATGTCCAGGACATTACTACCTGACGACCTAGTGTTCTTCTGGACCATAAAGAGAATATTCTCCTGTATTTCTTCAACTTTTTTGGGATATATAGAATATCTCATTATAGCCTTTAGTAATTGGTTCCGTTATATTAAATTCATTCAACAATCTGGAAACTTCTTCACATTCTGGCATATATGTTTGGATAAGAACCGTCTCCAAAATTTTCAAAATATTTTCTAATTCTGAATTTAGTGAACTTTAAAGATTTCAATGAATTAGTTGTTAT